TTGGCATTTCTGAAAAGTGTTTTAATATTTGTATTAAAAAATCTGAGAAATTTTCTTAAAGAAATTTTATTAAAAAATTTTGAAAAATTCTAAAATTTATATAAAAATTCGGAAAAATTACATGAAAAATTTTCACCAAGTACTAAAAGGGGTACAAGGGGCCTCGAAAACGCCCTCTTGATGGAGAAATGATTACGGATTTGTAGTGTATTCTAACCTTCAAACACGGTGAGTGTCTTGCACCGCTGGATCGCTGCGAGATAGTTCTAGATTTGCGAAATCAGCTCGGTCTACCACGAATGTTCGCAGACTAGCGTCTCGCGTAATTAACAGTCAAATTAATCCGCATTCGTGCGAGTCACGCGTGTACTCGTGTCATTCATGCGCATCCGGAGATTCTCAAACTGCACCCTCGATCGCAGTTTCTAGGCAACGTAGTCGATCGATTCGGCTGAGTTAACGAATCCCGCGAACCTCAGCGAAATCGGCGAGCGAAGACAATCCTCGCGTTCGCATCTCTTTCCTGTCTTCCCTTCAGCGAGAAGCAATTTCAATCCTGCATGCGATTCACTCTTTTAGGTTATCTCTCAGGAACCACCTGCGTCTCGATTGTCGTGGTAGCCTGAGACCCAGAACGACGCGAAATGTCACGATGTGACCTCGCGATTTCCTCGAGAATTTACGTGATCTGATTTTTCCGTGACATATTTTCTTTCCTATACTCAGCATTTGTATCAAATGGAGTTGGTCGTATCGAAGGATCTCTGTGAGGATAAATTTTACACCTTTGATATGTCATAACTAAAAAATTATCCATAGTATCTATGACCATCTTTTGTTCATCATATTATAAGTTATATTTCCATAGCACATTTTATCCAAGAGACGTCCTTAGAATGTTATAATTTCAGGATGCAACTGTTTAATCCTTCGGAGCTGATATCAAAATCTATAATACATTTACTATTAGATCTGTGATGCCCATTTAGTTTATAATAGTTAAAAGGCACTAATTAATTTCAAGAAGTTCGAAACTAACTTGTATAGAAAAGAAAATTAATACCAGGTGTATCTTAGTAAAGATAATCCATAAGACTCCGCACGTATAATCATGTGGAAAATTAGATCCCTGCGTTCAGCAGAAAAACAGCTTTACAAGTTTTAAGATTCTGCAATATAATTGGTAATACGTTTGGATAAGGAATTGAGAACAAGACCAATTATATTAAAGAATTTTATAACAATGCAAAGCTGCTTTTGTTGTTGCTGAACACAATTATATAATCCCACATAGTATAGTTCTCCAAAGACATCCCTATATCTTCTAAATACTCTGAGGACATTCCTAAGACGTCTCTTGGATAAAATGTACTTATAATACTAGTAAATATGCTTATAAATGTAGGAATGTAACTTGTAATATGATGAACAGAAGATGATCATAGATAGATATTGATAATGGATAATTTTTGAGCTATAATATATCAAAGGTGTAAAATTTATCCTCACAGAGATCCTTTGATACACCATAACTAAAAAGCTATCTATTATTGAATCATTATTTATGTTTGACGTCTTTTGTTCATTATATTATGAGTTACAGCATATATGCTATGATAAACTAAACTTATTTTATCAGAATCCAATTTTCCATATAATTAGTGGATGTAGCATTAGGAAAATTAAATTAACACATATTAGTAATAAATTATTTATTACCTCAGAAATTGGCATTAATTTAATATATTTTTTAGATGATTCCGGCTCAGATATTTCGCCTGATTCATACAAATGGCCTGCTCTGGCAGGCCACAAACAAATCTCTGCTAGCTAAGCTGCGCAAGAAGACTGGCTACACATTTGCAAACTGCAAGAAAGCTCTGGAACTGCACGAGAATGATTTGAATAAGGTAAGAGGCTCTACGACCGTTTAAGCATGCGTCCTGTAATTCTAATTGACTTACGACAGAATCTCTTAGTTCTTCCTTACTTCAGGCTGAGAAGTGGCTGAAAGAACAGGCGCAGCAGTACGGCTGGACCCAGGCAGCCAAGCTGAAAGATCGCAGCACCAGCCAAGGACTGATCACAGTGACGGTAGACGGGAATCATGCCGCACTAGCCGAGATTAACTGCGAGACTGACTTCGTCGCGCGGAACAAAAAGTTCCATAGTCTCGCAGAGACAGTGATCTCCGCTGTATTGAACCATGCAAAATCCCAGGACGTTCAGAACGAAGTACAACGGACTATTTTCCATGCAGACGGTCTCAAAGACCTACCAGCTGCGGACGGAAAGTCCCTGAGCGACCATTCCGCCTTGACTATCGGCAACGTAGGCGAGAATATCAGTCTGAGACGCGCTCTCGCCATCAGCGTACGATCACCGAACGTAACATTGTTCGGCTGCACACATCCGGCACCGATGAACCCCATACCTACATCTTTCGGCAAATACGGCGCCCTTGTAGCCATCAAGTGCAAGAAAAACGATAATATGCTGGGCACGCAGCTCTGCCAGCATATCATTGGTAGGTTTCATCTGTCACAGGGATACTCTTAATGCTACAAATCAGGTCTGTCCAATTTGAGAGAACCAAAATGCAAAACCACCGATGCAAAAAAATTCAATGTGGGTAAGATTTCGGAGACTGTAAAGTGTTGATACGCATCTGAGTGACGCTTATCAACACTTT